ATCGCAGCTTAAATAGACTGGAACAGGCTGAAAATCTGCATTTCACTGCTCTCTGTGGTTACAATGCTGTTTCATCTGTGACCTCTAGGTAGGGTCAGAGGTGTGCTGTGTTATGCCTTTAACCAGAACCAACAGTGAGAGGTTAAAACAGGTGAGTGGTTGAGAAGATACACTAGAGCTCAGCAAAAAAACACATTTTCAGGAGGTGGTAATTTGCTCTTTGAAGTCTTAAAATACTTCTAAACTTCAGACTTTAAAGCCACTAAGAGTCAAATTTGAAATTTTGCACCTTGGCGCCACCCTGTGGTAGAAAAAAAGGTACAGTGGCAACAACATTGATCTGACCTACATTAGGTACACTGAGATGAATGGGCTGACAACAACAAATAGAATGCACCGGGAATTTCACCAGGATTGTCAATTGTTTTTTTCTACAAACAAAACCTTTTTGTACCAGAATAACTCAGTTCAGTTCAAAATACTTTATTTGCATTTGCAAACACCCTTGCAACAATTAATTCACACACATAAAAACAAAATACAATAATGTAAGAAAAGAGCTGAAATACACAGGGGTTAATGATAGTGGCCAATCTGTAGCTGGCAAACAATATCCAACACCAAGAGGGCACATTATTTCAAAAGGTATGAAAAGTGCATTTATTAATTAATACACGAGGTAAACTGAACATTTCATTGACTGTACACATATCAAATGGCTCCCTTTTAGTTGTTTTACAGGCAAAGGTGCATTCCTGATGGTATTAGTGAATGAGTTTGTTTGAATTAATTTGAATCACATATAAACACATAGTAACTTTAACTGGGACTAGATCCCAGTAAGCATTCACGAAGCATTTTTTTCATTTAGCACTAAGTGTTGCTATGTAACAGTCTATGGTAACAGCAAATGTCAAGATGTGAACATGGAGATATACAGCTGAATAATTTAATATTTGTATAAGTGAAATATTTTGCTAATATTATGCAGTATTCAAGGAGAGAGAACATTTTGACAGCTCCTTCATGCATCCCTTACTCCTCCAAGAGAAATTTGAGTTGCAGGACTGAGTCATGTCTCTGTGCGGTTTGTATAATTAAATTGTGACCAGAGGACTGGCACACAGCACAAACTTCTTTATATTTTGATGTCTGATTGTCCATGACTATGCATTATTACTGTGCTTCATGCATTTATTTAACATCCATGTGTTTGTCTGCTTCACTTTCCTCCGAGGCCTTGTCATCATGTCCCATCATAAGTCACCTGCGCTGTTGTTTCCTGCAGAACACGACAGAGATGCTTCATTATTGAATAGACTGACTTTGAAGTATTATTGATTTGTAATCCTGCAATTTAAACAATGTTAAGTGCATTAAAAAGAGCATACATAAGGATAGATCAATGGGTGAACAAAATATTTTCATTGCTGTTGGATTGTAAAGTATGATGCATTTTGCACACTGAGCCTGTCAGCTTAAACGAATAGCCAGAGCAAAACAGGAATGTGTCCACTAAACACACTTTTGAATTCTTGCTTATATGTCCTTGAGGCGGAAATGAGGCTATCAGCAGCAGAAATGTCAAACACCAAGCGAAACACAAGTGGCCCTTGACATCCATAAAGCAGAGACCTCAGAATTTTTCCATATACAGTATTTTTTCAAAGTGCAACACCTTTATGTCTCATGGACTACAACGATATGATGAAATGACGCCCAAACATTTATCTGTACAACTCGCTCAGAAAAAGCCATAATGATGAAACCCTGAGGGGCACATGTACAGATGGGTTGCAAATTAAAGGAGAAACTTGAACAAATGTGTGGAGAAACACAACGATGCAGATGCTTCAAAACAGAGCACCAGAGTTCACTGAGTGGGTGTTCAGTGGGGTTGACTGTAGGCCTCCAGAATGTTGTGTTTTTCTTTAATTTGTCACCCATCTATATATTTGAAATCACAGAGAGCCACAAATATAAGATGTTTACCCCCGAGTTCCTCCCTCCTCCTGTGGTGTGATTACAGTATTTCTGTGCATGATACCAAAATTCAGTCAGTTACATGACTTGTTTGTTAGTCAGTAGAGCTGCCACACATCACATATTCTGTATTTAACAATTGAAAACATCATAGACCTTATAGTTTAACAAGCCATCATCAGCTAGCTTAGCCACAGCCCTAAACAAGTCCTCCAGCTGCAGAGTTCACACACCCTCCAACTCTAAACAAAACCACCTCATTACTGAATGAACCCAGTGGCTTATGTTCCTAATAATATAGCAGTTACCAGGAGCAACATTTCTCCTGTCGTGGCGAAGGCTAACTGCCCGCGCACACCTTCAGACCTTGTACTAACATAAGCGAACATGTTTCGCACCAGTGTCTCCAATGAACACTGAGAGAACTCAATGTCAACCATCCATCAAACTCCCGCTAAGACAAAAAGGCAGACACCCAAACTGTGGAAATTCAAATTGTACTCCCTCCAGTCACTTCTCATGACCAGAAAGAGTAATCACATTACAGTAACATAATGAGTCAGCCTAATACATTACAACCCAACACTGGTGGTACGTTTATTAAACCTGCAACAAATGACTTTTTGGCCACTGTAACTAAGCTGTACACACAATGAAATATCATATTTTCCTTTAAACTGATACAGTGAATGTGTTAGCAAAAAGTTGATAATGCACATCCTGTAGCAAAAGACATTAGCAACATTCCCACGGATACAAAGATGGTTGAGGGGAAGAGCCCCTCTCACATAGGCTACAAGTGGATATGTGGTCCATTGTTAAAGTGAAATTTTTTTTATAGTTGCTTTAAACACATGCATTTAAGGATAAGTAAAGCACAAAACTGAAATAATGAAGGTCTTAACACTAGATTTTGACACAAGAGCCAAGATAAGATTTAGTAACAGAACTGCACTGATTTTACACATGAAAGTCTGTTTAAAGAACTACAGTATGTGTAAAAGAAAAGTTGTATAAAGCCTTTTGTGGCTCCAGAGGGAACATGAAATCGGAGTAATGTCCTGATGTGTTGTCACTTGAGTCAGCTGCAAGTCTGAAAATGAAAAAGATCTGGGGGTGTGGACTAAGAAAGAAGTGAGTTCTGCTACTGTAGCTTGCTTCTCATCTCTGCTTGAAGACAGTGGCTCAAAGCTACATTAGCTGCTACCTCCACAACACACCCAAGTCTCCTATAAGTTGAATTTGTAATGTAGGTGCAAGGTTTAGACAGATTTTTGATTCTACTAAAATCATGAGTCTGACAAGGTTATAAGAATGCAATGCTGCATTAGTGGAGTGAGTCTTTTAAAGGTCTGTATTTTCCTCGTCTCCTGTGTTTTATTTTTTTTATTTCCTGTGTTGATCCATAAGAAGATATATTTGATATATCTTAATGTAGTTTTACATCTCCTCTCTCAGGCTTCTCTCTGGAGCTCTAGTAACAACAGGTTGGTGAGCCAATCACAAGAGAGAAGGCTCTGAACCTCTCATCTGATTGGCTGGCTGTTTTCTGGGTGACTGAATAAAATTATAGCGGATTTCAGGTAAACACTCAGAGAGACCAAATCCTGCAAGGCTGGATGGTGGGTCCAGGTCGGTCATGCTGGGGGCATGGCTGAGGATTGTGACTGTGTAGTTGTGACATCGCAAAGTTACAGAAGTGCTTACGGCTGGTTTTAAGGCTCAGTTTCTGAATACAGGCTGTGTGCATTTCTCTGTGGACTGAGCGCTTTGATACTTTCACTGTATTAATATAGAACCTAGACCTGCTTTATAATCAAACAACACATGGAAATCTACCTTTATACTATAGGCCTATTGGACCTTTAAGGACAATCATTACACCCGATATCGTCCTAAATATAATTAAATTAATACAAATCAGTAACCCGGGGCTTTTGTGACCCCTGGACTTCTGGTTATAGGCTACAGATAAAATGACATTGTCCTATAGCCTAGTGCTTACAGTGTGAGCTGGTGGTGACCTTGTATGTTTGTACAGACGCTAAGGGCAAATTAGTTCTGCTGTAATATTTATACTATCCCAATGAACACATTACAGAATTATAACCCTGCTTTTGTAAGGAGCTGACAGCGATTAATCAAATCAGCAACAGAAACCCCTGATCGGTGATTAATTACATCAAACTCAGCTTGCCTTTCAAAAATAATACCTTGTTAATTTAGCAGGCACAATAGGGATCTGATACCTCCGCATTATTGCTTTTCTTTTTTTTTTTTTTGTTTACAACAGTGGGTGGTTCCGGGGGGGGCGCTGCCCTTTGTGCTAATAAAATCCCATCATCTCTATGTACTATAAGGTGAGGGAGTTGAGGCTGCGCGTTATTAGCAATGGACTATAAGTGATGAAATCAAAGAGATTGTGGTGCCATCCTGACGACACTGGAAGAAATAACAGCAACTCCTCTGATGTAGTTGCTGGGGTCTGTAAATATTTCATTAAAAGCAGAGAGAGAGAGAGAGAGAGAGAGAGAGAGAGAGAGAGAGAGAGCGTAATTTGCGTAAAAATGAACCATCTCCACTTACTCACTATAACAACCCAAACACATTGTAGGCGGGTTTCTACCTCATGTTGTTGCCTTGTTTCATGACAGAAGTCTCTGACACGTGGATGACTGCAGCTGCTGTAGAAGCAAGGGCTTATGTCACCTTGTTGGCATGTCCCGCATGTTTATTCAGATCTGACTACTTGTTGACATAGACGGACGTTTTTTGTTTTGTTTTTTTTGTTTTTTTGCAGGACTGACACAAGCGCTGTTTGGCTTTACGCATTCCCCCTGAACACACGGGCTTGTGTGCGTGCGTGTGCGCGTATGTATTTGCGTGTGTGTCTTCCTCCCTCCTGCCTCCCTGCATCTGACAGTGTCCCTCCCTCTTTCTCTCTCCTCCTCCTCCCTCTCTCATTAGGCTTCTCACCGGCAAAACACCGACACACTCCCTTTCCCTTAAACCCGGGGAATAAACACGGAGCGGCGGCAGGAGCAGGACTGACCTCCCCCCTCCCCGGTGCGCGCCATCCATGGTCCTCCTCTGGATGTCTGTCTGACAGGAGGGTATGTTGAAATATTCGTATTTTCCTCCCCCGCTAGTTTGCTTATGTCGGTTCAAGCGCTGTCTTGAGGTTGTGTTAAACGATTTGTTGAATGTCGAGCTCTAACGCCTCCGAGATCTTTCCCGCTCCCGCTTTGTCCTTATTTTTTATTTAATTTATTAATTTATTTTTTTTACACATAATTCCTCAATGATCGCGGCGCTTTGTTATATTCTCTTTGTGCTTTTAGCTGCTGCAATGAGAAGGCATGTATTCAAGCTGCAGCTGTCCAATACACCATCATTTTGTAACGCGCATGGACTTTGCCCACTTGCTTGCCGTCCTCTACCGGGGGGATGAATAATATTATGGGACTGAAGCAGAGGCAGGAGCAAGTTGCAGCGTCGTTTTCCGCCCACTGGCTCAGTCAGCTGTTCACATCAGATCTGCAAATCTACAACCAGGCAGTAACCCCCCCCCCCAGTGCTCCTTCATGATGTTCTCACAACCTACAGCTCCGGCCTTCACTTTGACTCTGGGTTTCCCACGTCCTTCAGAGTTGTACTTGGCTTCTTCTTCAGCTGGAATCAGCTGTTGTATGTTTGTTTCAATTTGTGTCTCAGCCTGTCAGGGAGAACTGGATCTGCTATTGGCTCAGTCACTGTATTCTCCCAACACACCCATCCAGTAATTATGCAACAGCAAACACTGACAGATGCACATACACACAGGGAGTGACTTACACAATGTTGCCATTGTCACACCCTCTCTCTCATCAACACCTCTGGCTTGCCCACACAAAGTGGTTTGAGTTTTGCTTTTAAAAACATCCAAGTGGATTTGTTGTTTGTATATTTTTGCACCGTTTTTTTTTAAACTCACAATGAATGAATCAGTCAGTGATGTGTAAATATTGTAAAATACAGACTTCAGCTCTATGCTGTGCAGACATTTGCAGCACTTTGCCTGTTTTTGCCTGCACGCTCAGACAGGTCCATGTATGGAAATGGCCTCACCTTTGGCCCCCCTGGCTTTCACCGGTTTTGTGGAATTACATACAGTACTGAGGAGGAATGTTTCAGCAATGCAGGATGCTTTAGGACTGTTCTCTGTGGTTGTATTCCTACCTTAAATGTCTATGGTTTTGAATGTAGAAAAGTCCTATGAAGTGTCATCCTTCAAAGGTCTTCTGATTGACCCTTAAGAGAGCTTATTATATCACATTTCTTATTGTATTGGTTTGTCATGTCCTACCTCCTCTGCAGCGTTCTGGCCTGCTTCCTATTGCTGTACAGGTGGGCTTGTGATACTTCGTCACACTCCTCTTTCGGGCCGTGCACACTGTCAGCCTCGGGCTGGCAGACCTGCTGTCACACAGCGTCCATGTTGTTGACGTCGGACACGCTTCTGTGCCTGCTGCGTTAGCCTCGCCGAGTCAGCCTGCCAGCCAGCCTTCCTCTGAGTATCACCTGATGCTTCTGCTCCCTCCTAACTGCCAGGGAGCCGTTACCTCACCTCAGCACCAGCGTCAGTTTCTGCACTGTTTGCTTGTCAGTGTTTCCACATGAATTTGTGATCATATCAAGTTCAGACACATTGAAGTGACTCAAACTCAAAGATTCTGAACGGCTTTATCTTCTTTTTCACTGTGGTGTATATGTATACACAAAGTCTCGCTACTCGTGTGTTTGTGCATGAGTTCAGATGCCCAAGGGTGCTGCTGGGATTTCACAGCCCAGCATGCTGCCTGCCACCATTTGCAATTCAAATGAGCTTGTATGAGGCATCCAGTGAGGCTGAGCAGCCCTCCTCTCCTCTGTGTGTCTCATTGGAGGCAATGATTCCTTGCACTTGTAAGTTAACTCAACCATTTCTTATTGACTCCTCCACTGGAAAAAGGGAGCACTTAGTGGTTTATCTGTATGAAATGGTACCATAGAAGAAGAATATTTTCAGTTGGTCATATTAGTCATAGTTTATTTTGTATATATAGTAGCTCTTGGCACAGACAAAGAGTGCTGTATAAAAATGTGGCGTCACTCTGATGTTGCCAAGGCATGCAACAGGTACTGTGTGTGTGTGTGTGTGTGTGTGTGTGTGTGTGTGAATTTGTGTGTGTGTGAGTGTGTGTCCTGCGCTTGGCTGTCATTGCTGCTTTCCCAGCTGAATGTTCTTTGACCCGCCATGTTTTTGTAGCTTGGTGAGTGTGGTCACGTCCCTTCCTGCCTGCTGAACTCCAGTGACCAATCACAGACGCATAAAGAAACACACGCACACAAACACACACACACACACACACACACACACACACACACACACACACACACAAACACACACACAAACACAGAAATTTGTACTTCTATACTTATGAGGAACTCCATTGACACAATGCATTCCATATCTCCTATAACCCCAGGGCTTAACACAGTTTTAACATTTAGCATTGCGTGTTTATGTAGTTATATAAACAGGTAATGGCAGTTCATTTCCTGTGTGAATTCCAATTGAATGCCCAAACACAATGGATGCACAGGAAACAACACATGCATGCTCTATATGTGATACATGAGACAAAAGCTGGTGCATGTCTGTATTTCACATATTGTAGAAGACAGCATTCGGCCACCATAATGGATGACATGGTGACTGTCCTCTTTGGTCTTCTGTATCAGAGAAATGCAACACAATGAACCCTCTGTACTCGTGTTTCTTTACACCAGCCGCACATACATGTGCCGCTCTATTAAAACACACTTACTGTTACCACCAGTAACCACAGGTCTTGCCAGATTAACTGAGACTGAAATTTTAAAGGGCTACTCCAGTAACTTACTGCTGCACAACCCTGAAGTTGAGAGACGGATTAAAAAATGAAAAGGATGGTCAAAACCAGTTAAATGTCCTAATTTTTCAAACTTTATTCCCCAAGTTTATAGATCAGGTTTTCTGTGTCATATGTATAGTCTCAACCCTAATTCAAGATAACCCAGAAGACATCATTATCGTCACTTCCTCAGACTTTAGAAAGCTCCTCAAGAGCCATATAGTATATCTTTTTTCACAGCTGAATACAACTCTCTATGATAAGTCACCTGACCATGTGTGGAATAGGTGAATTTCCCCTTTAAAGGTCCATATTTTAGAGAAATATGGACCATTCACTTAGAGAAACCAAATCCTGCAACGTTGGACAGTGGGTCCAGACGGGCGGGGCTTGGGGCATGGCTGAGGGCGGTGACTGCTTTGTTGTGACATCACAAAGTTACAGAAGTCCTGACGGCTTGTTTTAAGGCTCAGTTTCTGAATATATGCTGTGTACATTTCTCTGTGGACTGAGCGCTTTGATACTTTCACAGTATTAATATAGAACCTAGACCTGATCTATAATCAAACAACACTTGGAAATCTCATGTAACAATACGGGACATTTAAGGATTGTAACTTTAACCCTTAAACCAACACTAAAATTAGTCCTTGTAACGAGTCTGAAATGTCGAGAGGTTTTGGGACAAGTTGGTGAAGAAAAACAGATTTTTACCTGTGTTGGAATGATTATTTACAGCTTTCCTTATGCAAATCAAAGATTGTTTACAAACCATGTAACTAATACCCGATACCTGATAACTCACAAGCAGCGCTGTGTTATTGATTGTTGGCTGATACAGCTGTAATTGCAGTATGACAGCGGTACAATGCACTGCAGCTTTGTGTTTGTTTGCCCAACAAACAGAGACCTAATCTTATTCTGTTTTACATGCTCTTTTATCAAGCTTTGTTTGGAATAACCAAAAGAGGATAACACAACATTACAACAGCTCAGTCCCACAACAGTTCTCACAGTGGCTGTGTGCTTTTGTTTTATGGGAATTGAATTAAGCCTCATCAGGATGCTGCAGCCACTGCAGTCCTGCCAAAATCTTGTTATGGTGCAGACTTGAGCATCGTATTGCTTCGCTGCGTGATCTTTAATGGTGTGTCCAGTGGCTAGGTCCGCAGTTATATGCTCCTTCTTACTCCTCCTATTGAGGGTCTCTTCCCAAACCAGTTGCAATCCTGTTGCTGTCTGTGTGATCAGGGCTTTATTTTTAGCTTTGGTTTTTTACTCACCAAAGCTTTGTGCGATTTATTGCCTTCCTCAGATTGCATCATTCTGCCTGCACTCGGGTATGAGAAGAGAGAAAGAGAAGCTATTTCATACCACGAGACAGTTTTATTTCACTATTTTATTCCCCCACCTTCAGTCATATAGCTCTTCACAGTTGATGGGAAGCATCACTTTGTCCTTCTGAAGGGGAGGCAGAGAGCTTTACCCTGAGCAGCAGCTCAGCAGCCTGCCTCAGCCTGATGATTACAGTGAGTCAGCAGGTTCTCCTTCTTTTTTTTTTTTCTACCCCCCCCCCCCCTTCTCCCTTTGCATACCTACACTCGTTTCCCTCGTTCCTTCCCTCTCGACTTCTTCTGCCGTCTTTGAACAAATCCCTTGCCTCTCAAGGATGAGACTCATCATGTTGTAGTCTGGCTTTGATCTGGTGCAACGATACCCATCATGCTGCCCGTTGTTTTTTTTGTTTTGTTTTTTTTTTTTTGCCTCCCCGCAGTAAAGAAGAATTTACATTTCAGGCAAAGTTGGTTCACGTGGGGAAAGGAAACAGTTGCCACTTCTTCCCAGCCTGTTTATTCTGCCTTCATCAGGGCCTGCCATGAAATTTTTTTTTTTTTCTCCGGCTATTTTGGCCTCTCCCAACAACCCAAGCCAGCAGCTATTGTTTTCTTTTGGCCACTTCAGACTTAGCAATCATTAATTAGAGTCTCTATATTCAACAGTTGTGGAGGAAGGCTAATTCCATTGCTGGTCTGTGTCCATTTCCCCGATGATTAGAGTGTGTGACTGGCTGAGTCGCTCACATTTTAGAAAGCTGGCGAATTGAGGAAAAATACGTACTGAGGTCGATCTTAGTGCAAATGATTTATAAATACATAAAACAAGACCTAAAAAGAGGATTAGGGGAGATTAGACTTGCA